GTAAACATGAGAATAACACTTGGGCAATACTGCAGAGGTATCGACCATGGTTGCCAGTCAGCCATTTTTAATTTGATCTGAAAACCGAAATGATATGCATAATGTGCGATGTCTGTATTTAGTTTCAACACTAGCCATTATAGTTCATGACATGGGATCAACAGAAATGCTTGATTGACTTTTTATCACAAAAATGGCTGCCATTTGGCCATCTTGAATCGGATCGTAAAATAAAAGGACATCCATATGTATCTCAAGATATGTGATGTATGCCTGAAGTTTGAATGAGATCAGTCCAGGAATATCCAAGATACAGCGTTAGGGTGCAACACAGACACACATAGGGAAAAACAGAAGTTCGTGGTTACAACAGTGTCCAAACTGGGACTGAAAATATTGGGGGGGGGGGGGGGGGTCAAAAAAATACTAGCAATAACTCCATCAGATTGGTGAAAAAACTGTTGCATGACTGAATACAATATACATGTGTAGAAGCCAAATACTAGTATCTAAAAGCCACAAGTATAAAAGCATTCAACCCAAGTATGAGGTGTCGCGTAGACATCAGTGTATACTATAAACTGGTAAATTTATCTAAAATTATTTTCTATTTCGTAATATGAGAACATTTGCGAAAACAACATTTAGACTCATGATATATATCCCAACTTTCACGATTGATATTCACAATGGTATTTCATATCACTTCAGAAAGTATGGAGTGTGGAGAATTAAATCCATTTAGTATGTTTCTTGTTATTGTAAAATACTTTATTTTAGCTGAAATTATTTTTTGCAGAAAAGATATTTTGGTTGTTTTGATGAGTTGAATGTATAATATTGGAAAACAGGTATTTCCACTGAATTTGATTTTCTCCGATTCATTTTCAGCGAAACAAGGGTAAATAAATTCAAGTACTTTACAGTACTCAGTAGAGACTGAAATGCAGATCAATTGCCAAGACAGCAAACTAGCTCCACATATTGTAAACATAATCTCAATGGAAATGCATGCTAACATTTGAAAAATTCAACCACAAATACATATCTTGTACAGTTATTCACACTAACAATTTACACAAAACAGAAGAATATGAGTGCACAGTATATATTTGGAAGGTACCCATAAATATATCAAAAAAATTTTCTTGAAATAAATGAAATTGGGTATTTGAAAGAATCAAGTTCATGTACTTAGACAGTCAGTCAAGGGTTTGAATTTTGAAGTACAGAAATATAGTATTAATTTCTAAATGAAACGTGTCGAACAGCACTTGAGAGGAACTTTGGGTAAATTGCTGAGACGAAAAATGGAAAAATACATAAATCAGGCATATATTAATGAGGTCAGGGGTGAGTGACCTACATTCTTCATCAGATGACAACCCCACCCACCAAACAATTGCATGATAACAGTAATGTAAATGATTGCCATTAGAAGCAGAAAAATAAAATATTTTTGATGAAATTCAAAAACAAACTGGAAAACTTAGTTTTTTTATTCACAAATTGTCAACTGCAGAGAAATAAAAATTAGATACAATGAGTTTTGTTGAGAGGCGGCTGCTGGCCATATGGCCAGGTACAAGCCCAAATTGGTTATCTACTTTCTGACCCCTCCCCCCTACCGCATATACCAGTCTCGCTGCAGTGCTTTGCCGAAAGCCTTTTTACTTTTTTGGGGGCCTGTTACAGGATGATGGCCTGCTATTAAATGCATTTGTGAAACTCATGATTTAAGCTAATTTATATTGGCTGAATCTAAACAAATCTGTGTAGGATTAGAGTTTGGTTTTAATGGTATTATGTATTTATACCAAATAGTATGACGCATGTTTTAGAAATAAATGCCTACCACATTTACTATATGAATTTACTAGAAATGTGTTCTATAGTAAATTTTACATATTCACTGGGTTTTAACTTAGGGCATTTTCCAATCAGTGAAATAAGCAAAATTAAAACCCAGTGAATAATTAATCCTTTTACAGTAATCAATTTGTTATCAAATTAAACGACGTTATTTATCTTTACTTACTGTAAAATACTTATTTTCGGTTGCAATTTATTTTTGCTGGAAGGATGATTCAGTGAAAATAAAATCCTTTGAATATACATTTTCCCCATAATTTACAATTGAACTCCATTCAAAAACACTAAAAAAGTCTTTTCAGAAAAAAATAACTTCAGTTAAAATACAGTATCTGGTATGCAAGCCTACTTTGACAGGGCATTTATATGACAAGTGCTCACATGCTCACCAGGGCACATGCATATTTTATAACTAATGTTTGTCACAAATGATCATTTAACATTTAGCTAATTTATGAATCAAAGATGAATATGGTATATTTACTGTCTGATGCATTTTAAAGTGGATCGATCAATTAGAATACCATAAGAACATGTACCTTTCCATGTAAGCCAACATCACTCAATTATGTGAACAAAGGTACTATGAAAAACTGACAAATTGTAACAATTGCAGATAATATCCATGCACACTCTGACCTTTTGCAAAGGTTATACAAAGGTTACTTGTTTTAATCCTGGTACATCTAGACTTTGACTTGTGAGGGAGTCAGTACTATATCACCCTAAAGTACAAAGTGCAGCTCAATACTAGTATCTAATCTTTTCAAATATATTTACACTCATTGCCCAAAGTATAGAGTCACATTTAATACTAGTTGCATTCCTATTCTTATAAAGTCAATGCAACTATGCTAGTCATACAATAACCAGGGGTACACATGTATAAATTTGTTGCTAGTCATGGACTGCTAACAATTTTTTTCTTCAAGAATCAAACTTACAGTAATTATTACAAACTTCCATGCTTAATTAACTCAAACATTTTGATGATCATAATGATATTTTATTTTCCGCAATAATATAAATGAAAACGCACATGTTTAAAAATCAATATTTGCTGATGGATCAGTAGTAGTAACAGATATAGTGAGGGGGTTCCTTAAACTCTGGAGTAGAATACTAAATTTAGAAAGTAGAAGGCTAAAATGTTACACTTCCTTTAAGGTTGAGAGACTGAACAAGCCAAGCAGAGTGTTATTTACCAGCCACTGTCTTTCAAAGTGAGAAAGTCAACATCTGCGCATATGGCAGTCAGTCTTAGCGTGACGTTGTTTACAAACAAACTGATGAGCCTTTTCGTCGCTCAATTCCTACATGTGTGCAGGTGCGACACCCTCGCTTTAACAAACCCCTGTATGATAATATTGGTGGTCATTATTTAGAATTAGCTTGTCTTTATTCAGACTAGGAGATCCTTACAGTACAGTATTGCCAACCCAACCCAAGGAAGTTCTGTCTACATGTAGATGCATTCTATCCCATGATTCAATAAACAAGTGTGGGCGTCTTGACATGTAGCAGACTAAATAACACTATTATCGGTACTTGAGAGGAGGTATCAGGGGTTCATTGTTTTTATGAAACCTTATAATGATATTATAATGTGTAGCTAGCTGTTATCATATCCCAATAGGTTATAGATTACTGGTAAATGCTGCCAAAGAAACACTGAATGATGGTGTGATGCTTTTACAAACCTAAATACATAATTCACTTTAATTGCAAAACATGGCCAAATTATAAAACACTATATTCTGACATTCTTCAAACAGGCAGTTAAATGAGAAAAAAAGAAAAGCAAAACGCACATTCCAATAGCAGAGATACAACAATGATTAGTCCACATTCCCTCAATTAATAATGCATCAGTCCAACAAAGAACACATCCCTTAGCCAATTCACGTCTTATTAGCTATAATAGGAGCAACCACTATAATCAAATTCAGATTCAATGATGTATTAAACTGGTATACCCTATTAGTGTTCATAATATTGGTAATTAGAGAATTTTACAAAAACTACATGTAGGTATAATAAAGGGTTGTTTTAGGGACAAACATTTCTGATTTTGTAAAGGTCTATTCAAATCAGATTAATATAGTTTGATTTTTATTATATAATTTTTGATTTTCTCCTACAACGTATATAATTTCAGAAGAACATTTTTTTTTCATCTTATTAAATAGTATGCATAGCAACTTAATAAAACAAAAGCATTTACACACAAAAAATTTCACTGATAGTAATATAATAAGGTTTTCTTTTTTTCAAGTGGAGTGACACGCAAGATGTACTTGCAATCTAATCACGCAAAAACAATCTACAGCAGAGAGCGTCCATTATTAAAATCCAGGCTCAGCACAAAATTGATTACACAAAATCGCAAATCGGCATAAGGCAAGAAATAATATTATCTCAAATCCATGTAACCGATCCTTAATATTTAGACAAGAGCAGTGGTGATATTTCGACCTACACTTGGCATAAAATGTCAACAAACGTGCAACAGATGGCAGAGCTACATTAAAATCACAGGGGACTGGTTTTTATCGAGTGTATGATCTGATTGCAAAGAAACTATCAATTGAGAATTCAGCACTACAAAAAACAAAGGCACAAAACGGGGCTTGTTTATTGACAAACTTATTACACTGGAAGATGGCTAGGACCGTGCGATGTGATGCAGCTGTTGACATTTTAGTTCGTCTTTCTCTGCTCCGTTCCTCTATTAGTCACAGCGAAAATATGGCACTCCGTTTTATCTTCGCCATCGTCTATCCAAATATTTCAAATGCCAGCGAATTTCTTGAGTGAAAATGTGATATTTTTAGTTGATAGGCGCGTGTCTGACACCCGACTATTACAAAGACACGCGTATCAACCCTTATTTGTTTCCGGGGGCAAAGGCGGTCCGTGGAAGGGGAGGGAAGGGCTATGAATCCGTAACGGACATCGGTAAAAACAGCAACAGAGATGCATACATACAATTCTTCGGGAAATAAAGAAAAATATTATAATATTGAGTTCTCTGCACAGGTATAGTTGTAAACTATGAGCGGCTTGATAACAAATGTCGACATATGAACAAAATGAGGGCCGTGGCTGAATAAAGAGATTGAGCTTACCTGTAAGATCGAGACAAAAATAACATACGTCTATCGCAGAATGAAAATGGCGAACTCTGCACATGTGGTACCCAGAATGCAACACGCAGACAGCAATATTCGTAATAATTGCGCAGTCCAAAAAATATATTATAACTATTACATATAAATTCACATGCCAACTTATATAACGGTGGATTTATTTCAATACACTGTATACTCTTATATTTTAATTGATTCCTGTCAAACACGGAGTTCTGAATCTTGTTTTGTGAATCCAGAGAATGGGTTCACTACCTTTGACCTTAAAGTGCCAAATAAACACATGGAATGGTCGCGTTTGAAAACATGATGTAGTAAGTTATTATGTTAGCAAAACATGTATTTCTTTGGTTATAATAACCATTCCAAACATTCGACTCAGTTGTTAAATGCCATTTTACTGTTTCTTTCGTTTGTATCTTCACCCAGGTCTCATCTTTCGGTTTTAACATGTCGGTTGTACTTGTGAGCAGTGCAGCCAACGACAGCGAAGACCGTGTTTCTTTGCTGGATTTGCCCGATGACACTATTTTGTGTATTTTGTCTTACATGGATTACACCGATCTCTGCAGGTAACGCCCCAGAAAACGGCGTAGATAATAGTAACATTACATTAATTCATTTGATGGGCACGGATTATGGAATGCAGAGCTGATCCCTCGAAAAATGGGCGAGGGGGGTAGAAACACAAATGGTGGCGTAATCATAACCTTTGAAATTTTGAATGGGGAGAGTATGCAATATTATTATTATTAAATTGAGGTTATTATGAGGATACCTCAAAGTATGCACGAAGACAGTACAGCTGCAGTATTGGCCGATGCGCAGCAGAGATCGATGCGCGATGTACTGTCTGAGTGCATACTTTGAGGTATTCTCGTAATAACCTTATTTTTATACATCTATTCCTTCCAAAGATACACCATGGGAATGCCGAAATCCAAAATGTTTAGAACAGAATCAGCGAACTTCTTTGTGTTGAAACTGGTCAAACTCTGGTGGAAGCCATGTTTGTTTTTATTATTAGAGGACGCTTACGCGCGTAATCATTCCACATTTGGAATTTGCAATTCCTTATATGGTAGGATGAAAATACCACAAAATTACGGCACGCTGTAACTTATGGCGTTACGGTGACAGATGTATAATAATATTATTTATTTGTTGAATGTTTTGGATCCCCTCATCAACTTCTGGATCATTGTCTGTATTTCTTTTATTTCTTTTCTAGTGCTTGATGTATATAGTCCATTGAACTTTTTTTTTTATTATGTTATATTCGACAGTAGATATGATTGTATTTTAGACATTGTTTTTTGTTATTCTTGTCATATTAGGCTAGGATACTCATTTTTGATTAGCCAGTGTCTTTTGAATTTAGTTTGTTTTTATTAGTTTTTATGTTCCTGGGTTTTATTATCCTTGTTGGTTATAATCAATTTAATTCCTTTTGAGGAATTTTTTGTTTTTCAATAAACAAGTAACAAAGCTGGTCTAAGTGCTAATGATGAGGATTAGGAACTAGCTATAGTAATTTTGCTGGAGTTTATATATTTAAAAATATCCAAGAGCACATCATAAAATTGTGTAGCAGTGAACTAAAATCTCCATCACTTTTGCAAAATTTCCTTCTCATGAATATTCTTGGAAAAACATCTGTAAAAACAATGGTCAAAAAATTCACAGAAAACGGTACTTTGTACCAAGACTATCCCTACATGTTGCAACTTATGTAAATTTGTTTATTGAGGATAGTCTTGAAGTTGAGTTTGTGCTGTTTTCTAAACGTTAGCTGTGTTTACTTTCTCTTCGACTGGTGTTTCTCAACAGAAATACATTGTACAGTGATCATCGTACAAGCATCATATAATGTTTTGTGATGTAGCTCTGCCCGGAAAGTACCTTTTATAATGATCAAAATGCATAAAGTGATAATGATGAGAATAAAAGGGTTCACAGTATTGAAGACTATGTTAACCATTTTTATCTGTTCTTACTTGTAGACTTGGGTGTTTGAACTGCAGATTAAATAAGTTAGTCAAGTATGGTGGACTGTGGAAAAGACTATGTAACACCATATGGTTGGATTCTTTGTAAGTTTTCTCATCTGAATATTCAGGGTAAAAAAACAAACATATTTAAGTAAAATTTGCTGGATGGTTCATGCCATAAACATCTTTAGCAGTCAAATTAAGATCTATTATTATTGAAAATTTGAATATGAAAATGATTTCAGGTTATTGTTTTGTAAGGTAAACATACAAACAAGAAATAATTCAATCCTAGTGAAAGCGGGACATGGTTTTCAAAATTCCCAGGGGCCGAAAATCCAGGTATTTTCACAAAGGCCGAAAACTCTCAGAAAACGGTACTTTGGGATGGTTGTTGAGACTCCCCTGAACAGTGTAACAAGATACCCTGCATGTGTAACGCATATAAATTTGATTGTTCAGGATTACTTCAAAGTTGAGTTCCTGTTGTTTTCTCGAATTTTCACCGGCTCGGCGTTTCGCGTTCCTCAGCAGCGCACACAGAGCCCATAGAAATACTTGGTACAGTGGTATGTGTCTTAGCAACGTGGAACGCCTTGTGACGTAGCTTCGCCCGAGGATACCAAAGATCTGACTAAGACAGTTGTTTGGTTCACACACTGTAAACTGTCTGAAAAGAGATCAAATTTCTTTCAAAGAGCATGTGGCATGGGTAAATAATGATTCACACCTTTCAGACAATAATCATGCATATCATATATTCTGCTCAGAACTCGCACACAAGAAGTGACCGAGGACAGTACACCAGCAAAAAAATGTTTTGAAACTGTACAGCGCCCTCTATTGACAGTGATGAAAATTTGTGTGCCAAAATATAGTTTAATAAAAAAAAAATCACCTAACTGCCCTATTTTTGACCAGAATCATTTTTTTTGCAGGGGCTTACTGTTAAGTTTACCAATTGAGACTTTCAAAATGATAGCATCTTTTTCATTCTTGCAGACAAGTATATTCAGATGTCTCATGGTATGACAATTTTAAGCATTGGTTTGCAGACTGGAGTAGATATGTGAAGTGTTATGTCGATATAAAAACAGCATGGAACACATTAGAAGACTTCACCAAGAAGTACTGTCCTGAAATTTATGCATATCTGAAAGGTTCGTTAAGTTCATCTTACCCGGTGTTTGAATTACCGTACATGTACTTCATGGTCTTCTTAAACCCACATGT